AACCCCTATCAAGTGTCTGGACTGATACTTCAACAACAAAACTGAACTATGAAAAAATCATTGTGTAAAATGGCATATTTTAGGGTATTGCAGGTAGCAGCAAACCAGTTGAAAGCCATGGCCAAAAGCACAGAGGATTCATAAGGGTAAATCCATGCAGAAAGAACAATTGTATAATGCTGGCATCCAGGCTGATGTCCTGGCATTAAACCAGTGGACACCCAGTGTTGTGGGAAGAAAAGAAATAGCGATGCACATGCCAGTGGTGGAGAGTATGAAGAGGGAATAGTAAATGGGCTTGTGGAAGCTGGAGTCAATGATCATAACATAGAGTTTGTGCTGTTCTCCAAAAGGGGAACCATATAAGGCAGCACAGAGGGATAGGAGACCAGATGTGAAAAGCTTCTAGTCCTGGAACTCCAGCCAAAGAAAGTGAGGGGATTGGAGTTACCAATGGGTAGCACAGTGGCCTGCATGAAACAGCACTCCCCTTCCGTAGGTTCCTATAATAATACATTTCATTGAGTCAAAAGTACTCTCTGTCAGGTATTTTGATAATTGTTTTATTTAAATATGTTTTTTGTCGTTGTGAATTCTTACCAAGGATATTTTTCCATTGATTTTTAGAGAGAGTGGAAGGGAGGGGGAGAGACAGAGAGAGAAACATCAATGTGAGAGAGACACACTGATTGGTTGCCTACTGCATGCACCTGATCAGGGCTGTGATCAAGCCTGCAACCGAGATATGTGCCCTGGGCAGGAATCAAACCCAGGACCCTTCTCTCTGCTGGCTGATGCTCTATCCACTGAGCAAAAACAGCTAGATTTAAGTAGGTTTTATTGATCTTTTCATTTGCATTACTTCTCACAAGGCCTACACAAGGTAGACTCCCAGTCACTGGTGTTCTGGTAAACCAAATCTCTGAAGAAAAAAAGTACCTTTGCAGTGTTTGCCTATTTTTATGGTATCAGTGCGGATTTTGAGCTGCCAATACACATCACTGAACACTGAGGGGATTGGAGTTACCAATGGGTAGCACAGTGGCCTGCATGAAACAGCACTCCCCTTCCGTAGGTTCCTATAATAATACATTTCATTGAGTCAAAAGTACTCTCTGTCAGGTATTTTGATAATTGTTTTATTTAAATATGTTTTTTGTCGTTGTGAATTCTTACCAAGGATATTTTTCCATTGATTTTTAGAGAGAGTGGAAGGGAGGGGGAGAGACAGAGAGAGAAACATCAATGTGAGAGAGACACACTGATTGGTTGCCTACTGCACGCACCCGACCAGGGCCGGGATCAAGCCTACAACCGAGATATGTGCCCTGGGCAGGAATCAAACCCAGGACCCTTCTCTCTGCTGGCTGATGCTCTATCCACTGAGCCAAAACAGCTAGGTTTAAATAGGTTTTATTGATCTTTTCATTTGTATTACTTCTCACAAGGCCTACACAAGGTAGACTCCTAGTCACTGGTGTTCTGGTAAACCAAATCTCTGAAGAAAAAAAGTACCTTTGCAGTGTTTGCCTATTTTTATGGTATCAGTGCGGATTTTGAGCTGCCAATACACATCACTGAACACACAGTTAAAAGAGATACACATAATGGTCTTTTGAAAGATGGCATATTACTTCTCCCAGTGTTTGTGGGGTACTTGAAACATCTCTTATGTTTTTAATCACTTTTCCAACAATAAAACAGGTTTCCATCCCAGTTTTTCTAGCACTTTACAAGCCAAATTTTAGTCTTCATTTAGTTGCTGTGTGTCGAGTAACACTCCCTCCACGTTCTGCGTGGAGTAGGGTTCGGTATCTGAAAGAGGAGCCGCACAACAAATGAGAGAAAAAGACACGAGATAATTTTGCAATATTGGAGGACCAGGCGGGCAAGTCCCGAAGGACTTCCACCTAAGCTCAGGCCGCTCTGATCTTTTATTGGAGCTCTGATAGCCCTAGGGTAAGGAGGTTTGTCTGGGGTAGCCCTGGGGTAAGGTTGTTTGAATGACACATGGATTAGCTCATCGGTAGACAATTTCTAGGAATAGGCAGGGTATCTAATCAATAATAATCAACAAGGATCTACACAAGTATTTAAGAAATTAAGGTGGGGATGATGCTTTAGTTACCATTATCTAGGGAATTCAGTGAACTAAGGTGGGGATGATGCTTTAGCTAGATTAACTGGGTGGTGTCTAATTGACTGGGTGGTGCACAGCCCTGACCTTTGCTAGGACTTTTCAAGGGCTACTAGCTTTTGAGGGGTCTCTGTCTACAAACAGGTTTCCATCCCAGTTTTTCTAGCACTTTACAAACCAAATTTTAGTCTTCATTTAGTTGCTGTGAGTCCATTTTTGGGGCTAAGGTGGGGATGATGCTTTAGCTAGATTAACTGGGTGGTGTCTAATTGACTGGGTGGTGCACAGCCCTGACCTTTGCTAGGACTTTTCAAGGGCTACTAGCTTTTGAGGGGTCTCTGTCTACACTCAGCTAGTGAAGACAATGAATGGACTCCGGCAGCTGTGAGTCCATTTTTAGGAATCAAATAATTTAGATCTAGCTATATAGAGCTGTTTGTAGCTGAACACCATGAATTATTTACCTTGATTCTTTGGTTGGTTAAGAGAATGGCATCATCACATTTATGAAACCTCTGAACTTTTATGAAAAATAATGTGTGCATTTATATGTGATCTTCCTTTGGAGAAGGCTTCAGATTCCAAAGCTGCCATTGACCCAAAGGTTGTTTGAATGACACATGGATTAGCTCATCGGTAGACAATTTCTAGGAATAGGCAGGGTATCTAATCAATAATAATCAACAAGGATCTACACAAGTATTTAAGAAATTAAGGTGGGGATGATGCTTTAGTTACCATTATCTAGGGAATTCAGTGAACTAAGGTGGGGATGATGCTTTAGCTAGATTAACTGGGTGTCTAATTGATTAACTGGGTGGTGCACAGCCCTGACCTTTGCTAGGACTTTCAAGCCCTGACCTTTTGCTAGGACTTTCAAAGGCTACTAGCTTTTGGGGGGTCTCTGTCTATATTCAGTTAGTGAAGACAGTAAATGGTTGCTATCAAATAATTTAGATCTAGCTATATAGAGCTGTTTGTAGCTGAACACCATGAATTATTTACCTTGATTCTTTGGTTGGTTAAGAGAATGGCATCATCACATTTATGAAACCTCTGAACTTTTATGAAAAATAATGTGTGCATTTATATGTGATCTTCCTTTGGAGAAGGCTTCAGATTCCAAAGCTGCCATTGACCCAAATGTCCTTACATTCTACTTCATGATTTTTTCTAGTTCTCCAAAATTTCCATTTTCTCCAATGAATTAGCAAATGCACCAAACCAGTACTGGATACTGAATATGGCTTACACATACTATTGCCATGACACATACTACTCCTATCTTTTGTACTATTAATTATGAATGAGGAAAACCAGCTAAAATATACACTAGGAAGGATCAGGTTCTTACAAATGATCTTAAAATAGTTTTCCTAGATGCTCTTGGCAGAGTATGCAATATACTAGTGAAGAGAATGGTGTCCAAGATACAAAAGGCCTGGGTTAAAATCTCAGTCCTTCTCTGTTAGATGTCTGGCCTTCGGTGAACTAAATGTCCCTAGGCCTCAGCATCTTCATCTCTAAAATACAGGGATTGGCAAAAGTAGGTTTATAGTTGTGAGCATGTGAAACACAGAGTTTATTCTTGTATTGTTATTTATTTATTATTGTACTATCTATTTGTATTATTTATCTTATTATTATTTTTGTTATTATTTCATATCTTAGGATTTATCTTTTAGGAAATGATAGCTGCTAATTTAACCTACTTTTGGCCTCTCCTGTATAATTAATAATTTTATATATCTCATTGAATTACTGTAGGATAAAATAGAATATATCTTAAAAAGCTATTAGTGGAGCCTGGCCATGGCTCAGTAGTGGTTGAGCATTGACCTATGAACCAGGAAGTCACAGTTTGATTCCCGGTCAGGGCACATGCCTAGGTTACGGGATCATGCAGGAGGTAGCTGATAGATGATTCTCTGTAATCATTGATGTTTCTCTCTCTCTCTCTCTCTCTCTCTCTCTCTCTCTCTCTCTCCTTTTCTCTCTGAAATAAATAAAAGTAGTATATTTTAAAAAAGCTGTTAGTAGACCACACAGTATAAACTAAATACTCAGTAAATGTTAATTACTATGTTTATTATTTTTATTATTATTTTCCTGCTTCCCTTATTTGATGAACCATAAATACTTGAGGTATATCATATTTTATCTAATGAATTAGCAAATATAAAAGTACTTACTAAATATTTGCTGAATAAATGAATTAAATGAGAAAAAATATCTAACAAAGAGTCACCTAACAGTGAAAGTAAGTTTTATCAGGTTTTTCTCAAAATTGATCATCTTTGTTTATTTTGTAGAAGAAGACTAAGTATAGCCTTGCGAATCTGTTTTGTTTTCACACTATAGATGACAGGGTTGAGCACAGGGGGCAAAAGCAGATATATATTGGCCATCATCGAATGGACCACTTTGGGG